AATTTTTTTTTTTTTTTTTTTTTTTTTAAAGTTCACTCCAAACTCTTCACAGACAGCACATGGGAAGATGATTTTTGGTGTCATCTGGGACAACCACCTTTGCCTAGCGAAAGCTAACACAGATCTCAAACCCTGCGACAATGATGCATGCAAGAGACTGTTATAGACAAGTCTATAACTGCAGGCTGTTACAGATATGAATAATTATATATTTTTCCTTTAAGGAGCATAGAAACTTTTTAAAATAGTTTTGTGTTTCTTTTGAATAGGCCACAAGTTAAATACTTGGGAAACCTTAATTCTTCTCCCTTGCATTGTATTATGATACATCCTTTAATTACATGAATCACACATTACTCTTTTCCAGGATCCTATTCTATTCAATACACTAGCTGGATACATTAGGACAGGGGCAGGCAATTATTTTGAGCAGAGGGCCACTTACCAAGTTTTGGCAAGCTGGCAAGGGCCACAAGGGGAGCCCCATCCCTTGACAGGTGTCCTGCCCTGGTCATCATTTTGTGACCGGAAGTCCTACCCCTAGCCCCTGACCTCTGCCACCAGAAGTTCCTCTTCTTCCCCCTGCAGAAGTACTCCTTTCAGCAACGGTTTGTCATCTCAGGACCAGAAAAATACCAAAGTTATATTCTAAAAATCAAACATTTCCTACAACATTCATTAATTTGATTTAAAAAAATATTTTGGCCTGATTTACATGTGCTTGTGCAACGTACATAGACGAGATAGCACAATAACTTAAAATGAAGTTTTAGTCTTGTATATTATAGGGGTGTATGTGGATATGTGGTGTGGGTGGCTGTGGGGTTTGTGGGGTGCTGTGTGGGGAGAGGGTCCTGGGAGAGGGTTGTGGCACATGTAGAGGGGGAGGATTTGCCCACATCCCCTCCGCGGCAGGCAGAGCTTCCCCGCCACCCCCTGCCCCACAGTACTGCTCCAAGCCCAGTCTCTGGGCTGCTGGCCCCAGGGCACTGGCACGGCCCCATGCTCCCACTCCCAGCCACTCCCCCTCCCCCAGCTGACCTTCTGCCACTTCCCTGTCATCCTGTCCTCCCCCCTCACTGCTCTGAAACCATGTTCCAGCTGCATGACCGAGACAGCAGGATCCAGACTGGCCCAGCCAGCATGGCACGGGGCCAGCAAAGAATCGTAGGAGCCGGGCCGGCTCCTGCTGCGTCCTGTGGCCTGGTGTTGCAGCCAAGAACCATGCAGTGCCAGACCGACTGGCAGGGTGGTGGAAGGGAGTGGTGGCAGCAGCAGGCAAGTGGCTGTGGCAAGCAGAAGGAAGTGGCAGCAAGCAGGCACACCGAATGCAGTGATGGGAGGGCGCATGGGGTCCATGCAGTGAGCGAAGGCCAGTGCTAGCAGGGCCCAGAGCTGGGTGGCAGGGGCCGGCAGGGCTCTATGAAGCCAGACCGTGCCAGCAGGGAGAGGGGAATCCAGCCCGGCCCCCCGCTCCTGCCGCCCCACTCTGGGCCCCGCTGGCCCTGGCCCCATGGACCCCACACTTCCACCCAACTACTGCTGAGCTCCATGTGCCTGCTCATTACCCATCTTCCTTGCCTGCTGCCTCTTTCACAGCTTTCCGGCCTGCAGCTACTACCACTCCTCTCCACCCCATCAGCCATTCTGGCTCCACATGGCTCCTGGCTGCAGTGCTGGGACCGTAGCAACCAGCTCGGCCCAACACTGAGGACTGGGGTGATTGCCTGCAGTCCTCCCCTGCCTCTCCCACTTCTTATCTGAATTACCCTCTGGCACAGGGAGGCAGGAACAGACCCAGGGGCTGAGGCCAGAAGCCTCTGCTCCACACAGGGCTTCTGTCTGGGGTTGGGGGCCACTGGGCCTTGCTTCTGCAGTTGCTCGATCCTGCCAGTGGCTTCCCTTGGGTCCTACTGCCCCCATTTTCTGTCAACTTTGACAGGCAGCTAGGGGAAGATAAATATTAACTTTTCTAAATTTTTTAGGGGTCCCACAGGCCATATAAAATGGCCTGATGGGCCATATTCTGTCTGCCCCTGCATTAGGAGAAGAATTAAGGCTACACACTGAACAACGTATTACAAATATTTATCATCTAAATGCTTGACATATCTCCTAAGAATTCTGCCCTAAAAGTAATGACAAAGACTGTGTATGCGAGACATCATGTCTATCAGGATTTCATCCAATGCGTTCATTTTACAAGTGAAATATTTCTTCTAACTGCCAGCCCTATGCTCAACCTTAGCTCTGAAAGTCACACTGCAACCTTAAAATATACCAGTATAACAACTACTCTGCTAGACAAATTACCCCTCTGTCACACCTGTGCAACCTGTCTTCAAATTACATCCTCAGTTCTACTTGTGTAACGATGGCTGTAAAATGGCATTATACAAATGTAACCAATACAGGTCTTGGCTTTCCAGCCTCAAGAAGAAATTAAAGGGTAAATCAATATATTAAAATAAACAGCTGTCTATAAAGATCAAATCTTTCGATCAAACCTATTTCCATTTTCACTCTTACCAAAAAACGATTTCACTACTATTTTTGAGGGGGAGGAAAATAATAGAATTAGGCTTGGCCACCTACAAGTTGCAGTTTCTCCGATGGGCTTGCAACTGGCTTACATCAATTGATGAAAATACACCTTAACATTGACATGCCATTCAGAAGGAGACCTCCATTTCAACATTATCCAAAACACAGAGCATGCAATATTCAAAACAAACACTCAAACAGACCAACTTTAATCCCTGTAGCAGTCTTACTACTCCCAGAACCCAATTTAGGATCCTTTGTACACTTAAAATCCATTAGTAACACATCCACAACAAAAAAAATGAACCCTGAAAGGTGAACTAAAAGGCTTTATACCTGCCAAGATCAAAGTTCTGTTTCTTTTTTAAAAACAGATGACATCATCAATGTCACCTAAGCAATATAAGGTGTTACCACTGTGCTTATTTTGTGCCTTAGCAAGGTCATCAATTATTGCAGGCACCAATACAAACTCTCACTTCAGGTCTCACAGAAAAATAAATGCTCAACAACTACTGCCCAGCTGTTTGCTTTCCCCCACACACTTTGTACCAGCTTTAAAGCAGTAGGTACAATATTTAAAGCAATTCCAGTTTTAAAGCAAGTTGTACTCTGCCATTTTGATGTTGAACACATTTTCACTGGAGAAATAAAGAAATCTCAAATTCAATATACAGCACTCCCAAAAATATTCTGATACCACTACCAAACACATTACTAAATGCCTGTATCTAGGGTGAACTGTATTTAGTTAGCACTTTATCTGAAATCACTGTAGTAACGTTAACCAAGTCTCACATCATTCTTGTTAGATGAACTAAGATCCCCCGTTTTACAAAGAATAAGGCACACAGAGTTGGAATGACTTACCTGAGGCCATGAAGAACATCACTACGGAGTCAGAATTAGAACTTGGGCAACTGCTACAAAATAAGTGCTATATAAATATTAGATAACTATGCATCACCATTATTTTGGCACTGACACTATCTAGTAACCAGAACAAAAGGGTTTAAGATATATTCCAGAAAAGTAAGGAACATTACGAGTCACTGAATTAAAAGCAATCTTGCCACAAACGCATGCTAACAGAATGACATTTCAGGTAAACTTTACTGTTACCTGGAAATGCACCTACCCAGTGCTGTTTTGCATGGTCTAGTTCTATTGCTTGATCTGTAAGGCAAAAATTAAAGTTTTCCTCATGAACCTAGACAAGTGAACATTTCTTGTAACATGTATACCTCAGAAGTTTGCAGCTTTCCAATAGAAAATTATGCTAAATAGTCATTACAGTTAGATATATTTAAGAGACAAGCCTTAGTTGCTAATTAAACCTTTCCTTATGAACGCTAAAAAGCATGAAGTTTCACTTACAGCACACACTTAACATACTGCTTTTACTTTTAAGATTTGATGATCAAAACAGTTATCGTAATTTACAGCCAATGTTTCCATGTATTAAAATCTTCTCTGCTCTTTTTGTTTTTGGAAGTTAAAAAATAAAAATAAGTGAAGGGGGGTGGGGGGGAGAACATCCCTAAAGTTTTAGGCCTTAACTAATAAAAGATCTCTCTTAAGAAAAGAATTATTAAGTGCCCAAGTTAAGATTTCTACATTTTCCATTGTTATAGCCGCCTTTACAAGTGGGTAAGTCGGCTTCCACAGAGATGAACGCAAGTATCTTACTATAGCTCAGTTTCTGCACCCAACTTTACCCATAAAACAAACAGCAAACCCATCACTCCTTTGATTTATTCACTGAATGTCAACAACAACAACAAAAAGTCAACAGCCCACATGAGGAAATGGCCCCTCCTACTCTCTCAACTTATTTTCTAGCCAAGGAAGCCACGATCCAAATACCACCCCCAAAGGAGTGGCAAGTGATGTCCACAGCACAGTGCAGCTTGTCCTGCGGCAAGAACTGCACTGAGAGGAAGGGTGGCCAGACAAATGTCTCCTACCTTCAGGCCCCTCAGACCCGGATTCAAGATTGGGAGCAAGGCAAGACTTCCTCAAGGCGCGGGCTTCCTCCTCCGGCGCCTCCCTGCGCTGCCGGGACCCTTCTCCAGCTCGGCCCTGCCGGCACCCACCGCCCCAGGCCCGTCCCTGTCCCCGCAGCCCTCCCCCCGACACCTCGGCGGGAGAGCAGGACACGGTGGCGCCAGGGGATCAGCTGCGTCAGAGCCGCGGGGTCTGTCACAGGCTGCAGCGGACCGGGGCCGCAGCTCGGAAGGGGCAGCTGAGGGGAGGGAAGGCGAGAGGCCGGGGCGGGACGGGGAGATGCTGAAACCCAGCGAGCCCGAAGAGGCCGAGCTACCCCCGCAGCGGGAACGTGCCGGGAGGCCGCCGGGGTGGGGGTGGCGCAGCTGCCGGGCTGCTTTCCCTGCAGCCGCGCCGGAGGGGAGAGGCCTGGCAGGCCGGGCCCAGATTGCGGCCTCTCCGCGCTGCAGCCTGC